TCATTGTTGTTTGGTGGGCCTGGGCTGGATTTGAACCCGCCACCTTGGATGTACATGGCTGGCGCCTTAGCCACTTGAGCCATAGGCGCCGAGCCGTTTTTGTTTTTTTTTTGAGACAGAGTCTCACTATGTTGCCCTTGCTAGAGTGCTGTAGTGTCACAGCTCACAGCAACCTCAACTCTTGGACTTAAGCAATTCTCTTGCCTCAGCCTCCCAAGTAGCTGGGACTACAGGCACCTGCCACAATGCCTGGCTATATTTCTGTTGTTGTCACTGTCGTTTAGCAGGCCTGGTCCAATTGGAGCCCTCCAGCCCCAGTGTATGTGGCCGGTTATAGGCGCTGAGCCTGATCTATGGTTTTGGCTGAATGCATGTGGTGGTGTGCTGCCCACACTATCTCCCTCCATCTAGTCCGGCCTCCCCAGTGCTGCTTGACACACGCTGACCACGTTCTGATGCTCATCCACCACAGACCCAGCCACATCCCTCACTCCTGCCTTCTACAGATGACTGGCTGCTGCAGGTCAGCCAGACCTTGCTCACCCCAGTGCCCTCTAGAGAAAAAAATGGCCTGAAGCTTGCTGAAACTCCTGGACTTTATTCTACACTGGGCCTTGGTCAAGGCCAATGACAGGCTCTACAGCAGGTACTACTCCTAACGCTGGAGGTAAGGGAAGGTGGGGGCATCAGGCAGCCAATCAGCTAGCTCAGTGGTAGCTGTCAGGGTCCGTGTCATCCAATAGGAAGTAGCGCTGCAGGGCAGGCTGCAGGAGCAGTGGGGGCCGAGAGCGGGTGGGCCTGGGCCAGCCGGGCGGGAAAGGCTGCAGTTCTACTCGGGGCAGTGGCAGCTTCAACATCCGGATAGAGCCGTCAAGGGTGTGGCCAGCACAGAGCCTGGACAGCATCCGGCCTGCGGCAGGCAGTGCAGTGAGGCTGCAGGCAGGAGTGAGGCTAGGTTCCCATCTCTATCCCTGTACCCACTCACCCCTCAGTCTCGTCCTAGAGCCTGGAACCTTCTTGACCTCCTGAAGCCGGAGAATGGGGTGGCGCCTGGGGATAAGGAGGTAGGTTCAGCTGGGCCCAGCCACTCACCACACAGCCACCCTGTGCAGGTGGTGCCTGCACCCCACACACCACTGAGCGCGGGGAGGTGGCACCACTGTGTTGGGCCCTGGCAGGCGTGGGAATGCAGTCTCCTTGTTCAAACTCTGCTGCCACACCCGTTGCTGCAGGCAGAATAAATTGAGCATGTCAATGAGGCCTAGGTCCAGCATCTGTGACCGTGACCAGTCCGTCTTCTCTAGCGGCAGCAGCTGGTCAGGTAGCATCAACGGCACAGAGGAGCGGGCTCGGGTCTGGGGCACTGCAGGGAAGGTTTGCAGCATATTCGAGAGCTTGCGCCGGGTGTATGTCTGCAGAGCAGTTGCATCTGGCTCTGCAGGTGAGAACGCCAGCACAGGCATCTCCAAGGCATGTGAGAGCCTCTCAGAGATGCTGGAGGGAGACCATGAGGTGACTGAAGGTGTCAATGAGGTGCCTGCAAGTGGCCTGGGAAACATCAAAGCCTGCAATGCTGCAGTCTCCTTGGAAGCAGAAAGTGCCACCAAGGTATCATCTGAAATCCTGGACAGCACTGTAGACAACTGGGCTATAGTTGGTGCCTGCACGGTGTCCACCTGCTGGGGAGGAAGTGCCCTTGTTCCTGAAGCCCCCGAGTGGACACAGAAAGCCCTCCTGCCCAAGCCCTAGCTCAGGGGAGAGGCCAAAGATGCACTGAGGGGAGGATACTGGGCTCAGAGCCTGGCAAGGCGAGGAGCCCCTAGCCTCATTTGGCTCTTCCCCAACGACCGCAGAAAAGCCTCTAAGACAGCCAAAGGTTTCCCAGGGGTGGCCCACCTAACCCCTGCCAGCCCAGACCTGCAGCTTCTGGATCAGGTCCTCCAGCTTCTGGGAGCAGCGCCTACGCAGTGCAGCCTTAGACTCTAAGTTACGGCCTTGGACCCAGGTCAGCAGCTCCTTGAACAGGAAGTCCTCTGGGTCCCATAGGCCTAGCCCGTCCAGCACCTTCTTGATCTCTGGCCTAGGACAGATGCATGTGGCTTATCCCAAGGCTTCCCCAACTGGTGAGCAGGGCCCAGTGGAGTGATACTCACAGGCAGGGGGCTGGTGAGTAGAGGTAGTAGGTCATAAGCTCCAGCACCACATCTCGGGTCTCCAGGGAACAGGCCAGAAGCAGCTGCAGCGCCAGCATCACAAACTGCTTCTGTGTCTGGTCCTTCGTGTGCAGAGAAGGGACCATGCTTGGTGAGTGTGACAGGAAGGGGGTGAGGTGGGGGGCTCAGGGGCACACCTGAAAGCTGGGAGGCTGGTCCAGGTTAAGCAAGTACAGGACGGTGTCCTGCAGTTGCCCTTGGAGGGTGCTGCTCATGTCGGGAAGCAGCCGCAGCAGCGCATGCAAAATGTGCACTCGGTCCTCCCACGTGGCCTCTTTCAGCAGGTCCAGGAGTGCTGACACCAGGCCCTCCACTCTGGCCATGTCAGGGTATGCCTGCAGGGTTGGTGTGCCACAGCCCTGACCCCTCACTCCACACCCAGTGTGCCTCTGCCCTGCCCTACCCTGTGTTTCTCACACCCCGAACCTCCAGGCTGAAGTTGGGGAACAGCCTTTTGAACCAGTCCTGGCAGACGAAAAAATGCAGGAACCTGGGCAAATGTCCTAAGTACTCTTCCCAAGACTCATGCCCGTAGTATTTCCATCTGGTCTCAGTCCTGGCAGCTTCGGGGGAGTGTGAGGGCTCCAGGGTTAAATCTGCAGAGCCCTAGGGGGAGCCACAGCAGCTGTAGACACCGCCTCTCTGGGTGTCAGAGCCAGCCCACCCTTCAGCATGGCCTAGGGGTGACCCACACCTCTCCAGGAACCAGTTCTTGGGGTTTTAGCTGCTGTTCCGAGATCCAGTCATCCTCCAGGTCCAGATTTTCCTCCTCTCCCTCCTCCTCCCCAACCCCCTCCCCAAACCACGAGGTGATTTCCTTTTGCCACTGGGTGCGAAACTGCCTACTGTGCCGTTGCAGCCATAGGTCATCCTGGCTGGTACTCGACTGCAGAGGGAAGACATATTATCTTCTGGGCTGGAGATAACAGAGCCCTCCCTGAGCCCTGCCCTGCCACCCAGCCTGGCCCTCTTGCCTTACATCTCTTCTGGGGCGTGAGCCAGGCGAGGGAGCTTGGGCAGCTGACCTCTCCAGGCAGCCACATCTTCTGCAGCACCACAGAGTTGGGCACGCAGCCTGGGAAGCTGATGGGCAGCGGATACTAGGGGAGGGGGAGCACAGCAGGTGCTGAAAACCTGAACTACCCCTCCCCATATACTGCTGTGGGTAACCTCATGACCTTGCAGAGCCTTCCAGCCCCCAGCTGGCTCTGCCAGGCCTCCAGAGCCAGACTAGGTAGCAGTCTCTGCTGTCCGTACCCAGATGGCAGGGTGGTCAGTGAGAAGCAGCTGGTCCAGGAGCCTGAGCATGCCCACATGCTTCCCACAGGACTCAGTCCCCAGCCCTGGAGTGGGGTGTCCACATGTAGCAAGAAAAGGGATGAGTAAGAAGCAGCATAGAAGAGGGCAACAGAGAGCTTGAGGGTGCCCACCAGAAAGGCTGCAGCCCACCTGGGCATGGACAGTGCTAGGCATATGCTGGGGGAGGGGCTGAGGCCTGCCTGAGCGCCTGGTGTGGGCCAGCTCCCCAAAACCAAAAGGACAGGGGCTCTTTTTTTTTTTTTTTTGAGACAGAGCCTCAAGCTGCCCCCCTGGGTAGAGTGCCGTGGCATTATAGATCACAGCAACCTCCAACTCCTGGGCTCAAGCGAGTCTCTTGCCTCTGCTTCCCAAGTAGCTGGGACCACAGGTGCCTGCCACAACGCCTGGCTATTTTTTGGTTGTCCCCGTCATCGTTGTTTGGTGGGTCCGGGCTGGGGATTTGAACCCGCCACCTTAGGTGTACGTGGCTGGCGCCTTAGCCGGTTGACCTACAGGCGCCGAGCCAGGACAGGGGCTCTTGACTTCTGGGAGAAGCTCATGGACCCAAACACCTCACCCAGCACCTCCACCAGGGAGAGGGCTATGTACGCACAAACAGCCAGTAGCAGCTTTGGCTTTGCCTGGTGTCTGCTCTGGGAGCCCTGGCTTAGGCCTGGCTCAGGAGTGCAGAGCCAGTGTCCACAAATACAGCCTCACCTGAACTGGGTCTGGTGGGGCCAGGGATGGGTGGAGGAAGGCTGTGGCCTGGCCCTCTGGGCTGTAGCTGGGCATGGCCACCGGGTCAAATTTGGACAGAGAGCTTTGTAAGCAAAGGGAAGATGAGGTACACAAGAATAGTGACCCCTGAAGTGGGCTGCCCCGAGGGGATGGGGGGGCCTAACCTTGTAGGGTTGTGCGGTGGCAGGAAAGAAGCCCCCAAAGTTAGAGAGAGGCTCCTTGGGCCGTCTCTTCAGCAGCAGGGGGACCTGGAAGCAGACAGGGTCTCAGAGCAGAGGCAGCCCCCAGAACCCCTGCAGCTTTGCCCTTGGGTAGGTGGCACCCCATCTGCCTGGGTCCCTCACCCTGTGCCTCAGGTGGGAAGATGGTGGGTACTGAGCTGTGGTCGTCCACCCTTGGAGCTGCTCCCACTGTAGCTGCAGATCCAGGCTTAGACCCAGGTCGTGGCATAGGGAGGAGCGAGCCAGAAGCTAGGGCATGGAGGGAGTGACCAGACGGGGGCCAGAGGTCAGGACATGGGTGAAGCAGTGGCTGAGATCAGGGCCTGGGTGGGGGAGGGGTGGGAGGCTCACCCGTGAGGCCCTGCTATGCACCCTTCGGTGGGTGGGTGGGATGGGCAAGGTGACTCGAGGAGGGCGGGCATAGCGCTGGCCTAGGGTCCCTAGGTCCTGAGGGGGCAGGGATATTGGTAGTGTCTGGGTTTCAGGGCTGACCCCAGCCTGCCAGAGACAGGGGGCAGCTCTGGGCAGGGCACACATGTTCCAGATCTCTCTCTCCACTGTGAGGTTCCCAGTGTTCCACTGCCAGGACTCCTTTCCGGACTGCACGCCCTGGGAGTGGGAGGACCAGATGCTGTGTTAGAGGCCTGTGGAGAGGAAAGGGGCCAGGGCCTTGGTTTGGGGGAGGCCCAACACCCACCAGCATGCTGGTGCCATAGATCAGGTGTAGGTAATTGTCAAAGGCTTCCTGGCGTTGCTGCCAGGAGGGTGGGGGCCGGTCTGCTGGGACCACCAGCCCCACCCTCAGCTGCTGAAGGTCTTGATCCCGGGCCACTAGAGCTTCCAAGTCCTGAGGTGGGGGGTCAGAGGTCAACCTAGTCTTCCTTGAGCTTTGCAACATGCTGCCCAGGCAACCACAAGGATCCAGGTCTGAGCTTGGCAGGGGACGGGGCAAAGGAGGACCCACCCACCTCCTTCGCCACTGGTTGCTGAGGAGGGACCATCTCATGATGGATGAAGGACAAGGCAGCACTGCAGATGGGGACAGGCACAGGTAGGACACAGGTGGCATACCAGTGGGTCGGGGTAGAGGCTGCGATGGCGCCTGGAAGGGAAGCAGGGGCTAGGGCTGGGCAGGCCTCCCTGATGGCCAAGGGGCCTGCCACTAGACCTGAGGCTGGCTTCCCCATGTAGGCTGGCAAGCCTCTGCAGCTGGGCAGAGGTCAGCGACTGCTGGCTGGTCAACGGCAGTGGAGGGTCATCTACCATGTCAGGAGCCTTCCCGCACAGTTTCTGGGCAGGAGAAAGGAGCCTTGATTCCTGGCCTAGCCATGTCTGCCTGCAGTGGCCCCACTTTGCCTACCCTGTCCTCCAGCGCACCTTAACCAGGTAGGATGTGGGCAGGTAGAGCCCATGGGATACCAGGCATAGGTGGGAGCCCAGTGCCAGCACCAAGTCTCCACTGTTGCTGCAGAAGGTCAGGGCCTGAGGGGCACTGTTCAGCTGCAGGAGCCTGGAGGGGTACCGGAGCCAGAGTCCACACCCTATTCCACACAAGGAAACTGGCAGGGGCAAGGCTCTCTGCCCCTTCGGCCACTGGTCTGGGGAGGGGCATAGGTAGGAGAGCCCAGCCAGCTGCCTCCTAGCCCAGCCCACCCTCGGCCCCAGCCCACCGCAGCAGGCGGTTCTTGGCGGTCCAGATGCGGACAGTGCAGTCCAGGCTGGAGCAGGCGTACAGCTTGAGCGTGGGGCAGCAGCACAGGCCTGGGGGCGGGGTTCTGGTCAGGCGGGAGCAGCTGGCGGTGAAGTCTCCCCCTTCTCACTGCTCCTCACCAGTGATGTGGTCCGTGGGGTCATCTTGGGGCCGGTGGTCGAATCTCTGGCTGTCACCTGGGCCAAACTGTACCAGGCCGTAGGTGGCACTGTCTGGGTCCTCAAAGCCTACAGTGACACGTTTGCCAAGGGCACAGAGTGTCATGACTGGGTGACAGCAGGAGAAGGTGCGCAGTAAGCTCAGACTCTCCTCGGCATAGGGGAAGACTCGCCACATCTTCACCGTCAGATCTCCGCCTACAGACAGTAAGCCTAGCGCTGGGTCTTGGGGGAGTGGAGGAATTCCCAGGATGATCACTTGGGCAGGGAGGTACCAACCTGAAGACACGACGCTGTTCCAGGTGGATGCAATAGCGGTGACCGGGCCCGGGCTGTGAGCCTTGGTGTGGAACACAATCTCGGAGGAGAACCACTCAAGCACCGACAGCGTGCCGTCAGTGTGCCCCACCACCGGCAAGAACCTGTGGGTGGCGATGAGACTGTTGGTGAGGCCCTGTCACCAGGTTTGCCTAGCTGGTCCTCACCAGTTCCAACACCTACCGGTTCTTGTTTTTCCAGGCCCAGGCCACAGTGCTGCGGTGCGGCTCGCCCCTGTTCTGGCGCACAAGCTCCCAAGAGGCAAACGCGCTGCCAGGGTCTGTGAGGTGGCTGTACAGGTGCAGGCAGCAGGGCCGTGGTGCCTGGGGAGGCGGCGGCTGCACCCGGTGCAGCACGAGCATGGGATTGAGGGCTGCGTTGGCTCGCACCAGGTGCCCGGCCTGCGTCAGCAGCCAGAGCACCTCGCACGGAAGGCAGTAGGCCACCGCAGCTGCGCAGTCTTCGGGTCCTAGCAGCAGCGCGCTCACTGTGCGTCCAGTCGCAGCGGACACCAGGTTGACTGAGCCATCGGCGCAGGCGCACACAAGGCGCGTGGGAAGCGACGGGTGCATGGGCGCCGGAAGCGTTGGCGCCACCTGCAGATGGAGCACTGGTGCGGGCAGATGGGCCAGTGGCGAGTAAAGCTCTCGCACGCGCCACAGCTCCACACTGTTTGTACACACTGAGAGCACAGGCCAGCCAGGGCCTACAGGTGCCAACAAGTGACTCACGCGCCCTGACCGCGCGTCCTGGCCCCAGTAGCATAGCCCCACCTCGCCCACCTGTGCCGCTGCCCGCAAGTCCCATGTACGTAGCGTCCCATCCTGTGAGGCCGACAGTGCCAGGGAAGTGTTCGGGAGCACAGCCAGTGCCGTCACTGGACCTGAGGGGAGGGGGGTACGAGTCACTCAAGTGCACAGGGAGTGGGCAGGAGAGCTGTGAGCCCGGCCTGCAGCCACTGCTGAGAGGCCTGGCCAGAGCTTGAGGTGGTCAGAGAATGGGCGCACCTGTGTGGCCCACAAACACCATCCGGATCTGCCAGTCGGCCTCCCACACCTTCACTGTGCTGTCCCGGGAAGCTGTCACCATTGCCTCTACCTCTTCACAGTAAGCCAGGTCTGAGATGGTGCTGCGGATGGGGAATGACAGGGGTGGCCAGAGGTCTTAGCACAGCCTTGTACATGAGTGGTCTGTGTCCCTGCCGTTACTGGCTCTCCCTTGCGGACCCCCTCACGTTTTGTGCAGGTCCCTGCGCACATCTACGAGAGCCCACATCTGCAGATCAAAGGTGAGCACGGCGGAACCACAGGCTGCGAAGCAGCACCGGACCTCATAGGGAGGTGCTGGTCCCAGAGCCAGACACTTGAGTTGGCCAGCTGGGCTTGGTGGCGGTTGCAGGGGTAGCCCACGCAGCACCAGGCGGCGACCACCTGAGCGGAATTTCCAGAGCGCCAAGCTGCCGCTCACATGGGCTACAAGCAGCAGCCCCCAGTCGGGTGCCGGCAGGCAGCAGGTAGGTTCGCATCCTGGCGCCCCACCCACACCTGGCTGGCTCAGCCACAGCAGGTTGAAGCTGGGCCCTAGGATGGCCAGCCCCACAGGGCCCCAGCCTACAAAGCGACCCACAGCACCCAGCGGGCCCAGCACTGCCACCAGCCCCGTAAGTGCCACAGGTGCCGGGAGCTTCTCTTGAGCCCAGCCATCCTCTCTGTGCAGGTGCAGGTGGCCCGCGCAGTCCAGCACCACGAAGCGTCCGCCCACGGGGTCGGGTGCCACGGAACGCAGCCCAGCCGCCACCTCCAGGTGGCGCAGCGGCTCCAGCCCGTGCGTAAGGCTGGCCACATGCAGCTCGGCTGTCTTCTCCTGCAGTGGGACAAGGCACCAGGTGAGGGCCGCAGAGGGACCAGCCCCTTAAAGAGGCCCCAGCAGACGCCCAGGGCAAGCTGCACCTTCTCGACGATGTCGTGGAGGCGTCCACGCAGAAGCAGCCACAGTTGGCGGGCGCGGGCACTCGGTGACTTGCCTTGCCACTGCTGGCTGCCAGTAAAGAGTGGAAGGACCTGCGGCGGCTCCGTGAAAGACAACTCTGCGAGCAGGAGTTGGACACGGTCACCGTGGCGTCGGGCCTCCCAACCCTGAAAGTTGTGGGCAGCCGGAAGCCCACCTCTGAGAGCCCTTTCAGGTAAGGAACTGCCTAGGGGAAGGGGGGGTGTCGTCCCAGAACGGAACCTTAGCCAGGGCCCTGCTCCATAAAGGGGCATTAGGGGAGGAGGCCAGGCCCCCTCACCATTCTTTTCCACGAGAAGACCAGGGTCTGGGATGTCAAAGCTGTATGTGTCATACAGGTCCGGGTCCAGAATCGGATAATCTCCTTCTGAAAAGGATCTGCTTGAGTCCAACACTTGTGCCTCCATCTCCGTGACGGGTCCTGACTCAACAGGTCGGTACCCAGCGGGCTCAGCGCTGTTGCTGGGATACCAGACGTTGGCCCCGCCCCCACCACAATCCCAGTCCCCATGCAGCATCCAGGTCCACACTAAATCACAGAAACTTTTATTGGAAACAAATGAGCTGCAGCAAACTGACACTCAGTGCACGCGGTCAACCGGCAGGGGGGGATACAGGTGGGCGCCAGGGGCTGGCCTTAGATCAGAGCCAGTGACCACTGGGGCCTGTTTTTGGGGCCTCAGGCTACAGACCCTTTGGGGTGGAGTGTGCAGACCCAGTACAAAATACAAAAATAAACTCTGTGTCCAGCTGTCCCTGCCTGTGGCAGCTCATTTGGGCAGGCAGTCGCTCTTCCCACCAGGCCCCATGCTGTCCATCTAGTCCAGCCACAGCACAGCAGTGGTAGCCTGTGGGGGTGAGTGCACATCCATAGGCTGGAACCAAAGGGCCAGGCAGGTGTGGCCTTGGGCAGCACTGGGACTGTGGCAGCACCAGGGTCTGGCCAGTAGCTGGGGAGGCCGTGGGCCTCTTAGGTGGACAGGTCCAGGCATTGGTTGAAGCTGGATGAAGCTGGGGCCTCTGCTCATCACATACACATCACCGGGACCCTGGGCAAGGGTTGGCACACAGCAGGCCTTGAGGAGCTCCCACTGAGACTGGACAGAGAGCCCCCAGCCTGTCATACCCACTCCAGATTCCAAGGTCCCAGGTCACAGCCACCATCACCCACCTGTCCTCTGTGGTACTGGTGTCCTCGGACCCACCCTCGCTGCCTCCGCCTTCTTCCTCCACCTCCTCCCCCAGTTCCATGTCCAGCTCGTTGCCTGCCTCTGAGGGTGTGTAAGTGGAGCCACTGGGGGAAGTGGGGAAATCAGTCTTAGGATGGCCTACCTCAGGCCTGCTGCTAGCTCCAGGGAGGCTGTCCGGGGGAACAAGGTCAAGAGCAGGTAGGGGCCACTGAGGAAACTGCATGGGCCCAACAGGGAGCTGGGAAAATGAGGCAGATGGTGCCCACCTGATAGAGCGGCAGCTGAAGAAAACAATTCGCTTGAGCCGCTTATTGTAGAAGAAGTAGTTGAAGGACCAGAGGCTGCCATCCTCCCCAAAGGGATCTGAGTCTAGATCTGGGTTATAGCTGGAAGTGTAGGGTGAGAGGTGACATGAGGCCCCAGTGCCACACACACACCTGGGGTCCCAACTACAGGGATGTTGGCCCACCTATAGATGTCACATTCTGCCAGACAGATCTCTTCATCCACTGCATTCCACAGCTGTGGCTTCAGGGCCTTGAAGTCCTCCCGAACAGCTGAGAACAGACTGCAGTTGACAGCATTCACCACCTAAGGCAGGTCATAGTCAGGGTGACAAAGGCCCAGGGCAGCAGGTGTGAACTGGCTAGAGCCCAGGACATGGGGGGACAGTGGGATGGCTGTGGGGCTGTAGCTCCCTTCCCACCACCTGACCCTCACCCAGCTGAGGCTGGGCTCCCGGCTGAACTCATGGCTGCGGGCTGTGCTGAAGTCATAGTCAGGCCTGAAGGACTCATTAAGCGTGGCAATCAAGTAGAAGAGGGTCTTACGGCTGCACTTGTCACTGAGGGGGCCCTCGTCTTCACCACCTTGACTCTTGCTCAGTCTGTAAAAAGAATTGTCAGCCCAGCCCACCCTCCTACAGTCCCTATGGGCAGGCCCCACCTCAACTCACCTGCTGGGGCTGAGGCCTGAGGTCTGGGGTGGAGAAAGTGCCTCTAGCACGTGAGGCTGACCCTCCTGGCAGAACTGCTTGAACATGTGTTTGTCATCTCCTGCCATCTTACATGAGTAGCTCTCAATCCTATGGGATGCAGGCAGGACCACAGAACATTGCCTCCCAGGTTTGATTCAGGGGCCAGAGCAGAATAACCTCTGAAATGCCAGCCCGCAGAACCTCTGGCCTCACCTTCCAATGATGTGGGCATCTCCGGTCTCCACAGTCAGCTGAGAGTTGATGGCCTCAAAGCTTGAGTTCTCCAACAGCTTCATGTCCTCAGGGAACGGGCTAAGCACTCCAAAGGGGCTAGGGCTGCCTGAGGATGCAGGAGGCCAGGCCATGGGTATCTGGCCCCATGGGGTTCTGCCTTCAGCACTGCTAATCCCCAAGCAGAGCCGCTGTAAACAAACGGAGTCTGGCTCCCAGCAGCTCCCCTCCCTCTCCTGGTCTGAGATCCCCTTACCTGAAGGTGGCAAGTCCAGGCTCAAGCTCAGCCACACCCCCTGCAAGGCACTGAGTTTTTTTTTTTTTTTTTGAGACAGAGCCTCAAGCTGTCCCCCTGGGTAGAGTGCCGTGGCATTACAGCTCACAGCAACCTCCAACTCCTGGGCTCAAGCGAGTCTCTTGCCTCCGCCTCCCAAGTAGCTGGGACCACAGGCGCCCGCCACAACGCCCGGCTATTTTTTGGTTGCAGCCGTCATTGTTGTTTGGCGGGTCCGGGCTGGGGGTTCGAACCCGCCACCTTAGGTGTACGTGGCTGGCACTGAGTTCTAAGACCAGGCTGGGAGGCCTTGAGGGCTCCTGCTGGCTTAGTCTCTTCTTGAACACTCCCCATTCACATCCAGAAAAAAAAGCCCACCACCCGTGGGGGTTGTCTTGAGGCCGTGAAGGGCCATGACTCTGTTTTCAGATCTTCAGGCTGAGTAAGAACCCGAATCCCGGGTGGGAATGAGGACACCTGAGGCTCTCAGACCTGCGAAAGACAGGCTCTTTCCCTGCTCTGGCTGTCCTCTGGCAAGAGGGGGAGAAAGCCCATAAGCTTCTCCGCTCTACTCTCCAAAAGCGTCTAGTTTCTCTGGACGCTACGGAGCGCAGGATCGCAGCCCCACTAGAGTGTTGCAGCGTCCGCGAGGCCGCGCCCGCGCGTCTGGGCTAGCGGCGCCCTCCGAACCACGACAGAACTACAAGTCCCAGGAGGCAGCGCACCGCGTGAGGCCTGCTGGGGTCTGCGGTTCCGGCCGCCAGAGACGGCGCGGGGCAGCTGGCGTACACCCACCTTCTTGGGCTGGGCTGACCAGGCCGCGCCGGGCTGGGCAGGGCCGGGTGGCTCGGCGTCGGTGCCGGTGTGCAGGCGGGGCGGGCTCCGCGCAGTGCGGGCTCCTCAGGACCGGAGGGCGGCGCCGCGGCCTCCGCTCGGGCCGCACGGCATCAAGGGGAAGAAGCTCCGCGGTGACGTCCCGTTACTCCCGGCCCTGCCGGCCCGTCCGGGCTGCCGCCGCGACATAGCCTCGCCCCCCTGCACAGCGCCCGCCCTCGCGACCGACCTGCTGCCGACCGCCACAGAGCGCCCGGGCAAGCCAGCGAGCGAGCAACCTCCGCTTCCTCCGCCGGACAACAACAAGCGTCCGCACGGCCCGTCCCCACGCTTCTGAATGGCCCGCTCTAGCCTCGGGGATCGGGAGGTCGAGTAGCCATTGGGTGCGGTACCCGCCGCTCAGTTCTGCCTTCTACTCCCACTGGCTCAGAAGCCTGTCTGTCACGCTTGTCTTCGTACGAGCCCTCCTTCCCCCGGCGCCCACTGGTCGCAACTTGGCGGGCTCCGCCCCCTCGGGGGATCGACCGGGTTCCCAGGGAGGCGCGGCAGGCCCGGCTCGCGGTGTGGGCGTGGCGGAGTTCGCTGGGGGCTGTGGGTAGTTACCTACCCCGCTGCAGCCTCTGCCCGCTAGAATCTCTCGGGGCGATGACGCTGCGCCGGCCCTCCAGCTGTGGCCTGTGCTTCGGTCCCTGATCTTTTGCCCCCGAGGTCCAGCTCACACTTGACCTCCTCGGCGCCCTGCTCAGGCCCGTTACACGTCGCCCGCCTCGGGCCGTGCCCATTCCTGGGCACAGCGAACGAGTCAGGCTTGGCGGGTGCGAGGCGCTCGGTCCTGCCTTGGGCCCTAACACTCTGGTTGTGCCCGGAACCCCAGACTCGCAACTGCGGTTTCCGGCTGGGGAAGCCGCTCAGAGGCCCGGTCCGACGGAAGCCGGCTCCGAGGGTCGGAACCAGGTCGGCCCGGAGATGGCGCCGCCCGCCGGCGGGGCGGCGACTGTGTCAGTCCCGGGCTCCACCGCAGTGCTCCTGGCTGTGAACGCCGCGGTGAGGCCGCTGGGTGCCGGGCCAGAGGTCGAAGCGCAGCTACGGAGGCTGCAGTTGAGCGCAGACCTAGAGCACCCCGGGCGCTTCCGGCTGGAGTTGCTGGGCACTGGCCCTGGGACGGTGAGTCTGGGGCGCGGAGCCTGAGGCCAGTCTCTTCTGCTTGCCGTCTGGGTGCGCTTGAGCACTCATTTTTCTTTCTTATGTTTTCTTATCTGTAGGAAGAGGGTACTGCCGGTAACTACTTAACAGGACTGTTGTGAGGATTTGATAATAGGTGTAAAGGGCTCAGGACGGTGTACATTGCTTATAAATGTTACCTTGTTGTATTCCTTTGTTCATCACGTGTGATGGGAGACTCTGAATCCGCACTCTCCCCATCCTCAGGTCAGTTTGGAGTGGCCCTTGGAGTCCGTCTCCTACACCATCCGGGGGCCTAACCAGCATGAGTTGCAGCCTCCACCAGGAGGGCCTGGAACCTTCAGTCTGCACTTTCTCAACCCTCAGGAAGCTCAGCGGTGGGCAGCGCTAGTCCGAAGTGCCACCGTGGAGGGACAGAATGGTCAGTGCTCTGGAGGAGACTCATCTGGAGTAGCCCTAGCACCCCAATCCTGGTTGGCAAAACTGAGCCTACCTTCCCACTGCTGTGGGCCTAAGAAGGCTCTCAGGAGGCAGAAAGTGGAGAAAAGGAGAAAGGGTAGAGAAGGTGGAACCTGGAGCATCAGATAAGCTGGAGAGGCAGAGTGAGCAGGCCTTAGGCCCACTGTGGAGGCAGATTATCTCCAGAACAATGGGAGCAGATCCAGTGGGAGAATGACAGCCTCATACAAGTATTTGCTGATGAAGACTGAGACTTCTGCAGTCATATAGGTTGGTGCCCAGTAGGGCTGGAGAAAAGGATGTTTCCAGAGATCCTTAGAAGATGGTGTTAGCTGGGTTTCTTGGTTGTTTATTTTAGTTTTTGGAGATAGAGTCTCACCTTGTTGCCCTTGGTAGAGTGTTGTGGCTTCATAGCTCACATTAACTTCAAACTCTTGGGTTCAAGCAATTCTCTTGCCTCAGCCTTCAGAGTAGCTGGGATTACAGGCACAGGCCACAACACCAGGCTATTTTTAGAGACGGGGTCCTGCTGGTCTTGAACCTGTGAGCTCAGGCAGTCCACCCATCTTGGCTTCCCAGAGTGCTAGGATTACAGGTGAGCTACCTGGCTTGGCCTCATGGCTGTTTATTTATTTATTTATTTATTTTTGAGACAGAGCCTCAGGCTATTGCCCTGGGTAAAGTGCTGTGGCGTCACAGGTCACAGCAGCCTCCAACTCCTGGGCTCAAGTGATTCTCTTGCTTCAGCCTCCCAAGTAGCTGGGACTACAGGCGCCCCCCACAACGCCCGGCTATTTTTTTGGTTGCAGCCGTCATTGTTGTTTGGCAGGCCCAGGCTGGATTTGAACCTGCCAGCTCAGGTGTATGTGGCTGGTGCCTTAGCCGCTTAAGCCACAGGCGCCAAGCCCCTCATGGCTGTTTAAATGGAAGAGTTCGAAGTTAAGCCTGAGAAAGATGGTGGGACCAGGTAGTGCAGGGCTCCTAGACAGAGGGCCTGTTTGGGAGGGGTTTGGGGGTGGTTGGGTTCTCACATACCTGGGTTGGAGCTGGGGCTCTCTGGAGAAGTGAAGATTGGGAGGAGAGGTCAACCAGGGTTACCAGGCAAGAGAAGCAAGATGGTCCAGCAGGGAAAGGAAAGACAGCTCACAAACAAGATAGGGGAAGAGCTGCCAGTGGGGTAGGAAAACTGATGTAGGAGAGGCCTGGGCAACTCAATGTTTAGAAAGAGAAAGGGGGCTGGGTGCCATGGCTCATGCCTGTAATCCTAGCATTCTGGGAGGCTAAGGCAGGTGGATTGCTTGAGCTCACAAGTTCCAGACCAGACTGAGCAAAAGCAAGACTTCGTGCCTACTAAAATAGAAAAACTGAGGCAAGGGGAATTGCTGGAGCTTAAGAGTTGGAGGCTGCTCTGAGCTGTGATGCCACAGGATTCTACCCAGGGCGACAGCTTGAGATAATTTGTCTCAGAAAAAAAAAAAAAATAGGGGCTCATTTTATTCATTCCCTGAGTATGTCTGTTCAGCACTTGCTCTGTAGTAGGCATTTCTTAGCACGAACAAAACCTCAAATCTCTGTTCTCTTTAAGCTTGCATTTTGGGGGGGGGCAACATAAAATGTACAGTAAATTTCTGTTAAATGGGAGCATGAAGGGAGGGCTGCTATTAGAACTTCATGGAGAATGGGACCCTTGAGTGAAATTTTAATGTTCTTGCATGAACCATGTGGCCAAGGGACCAGCAAACAAAATCTATGAGGCAAGTTTGGAGGTCCCTGTTTATTTTAGTGGACAGTTCAGAATACCAAGGAAGGGCCTGGGGCTATCATAGGAGCTGTGTCAGTATTATGTGGAGACTCTCCATTACAATGGCCAAGGCCTCAAGTGGGAGGTAAGAAGGAAGAGCAATGTGCCCAGTTTTATAAAGATGCCCAAGGAAGACAGCCCAAGTGTATTCTGAGCTAATGGGGGAGCCCGGATGGGAAGTGGTCCCCTGACTATAGGACCCTGCCTGAGGGCCTGCTGTTGGTTCTGCTGTGAATCCTTGGGGCATTTGTGGTTGAAAAAAGGGTTAGCAGAGGTGGCCTGGCCTCTGTGGAGGGAGACAAGTGGGACTAGGCAGCAGAAAGGTTCTGAAGGACTCTAGTCATAAGGACAAGCCAAGAGCAGCTCCAGCACCAAAAGGAGTCTGGCAGGGCCCTCTGAAGGGTTTGCAAGGGCCAAGGCTGGGAGGGGAAGGTGTGGCTTGAAGTATGACCTAAGGTAGGGCCTTGGTGAGGACCCAGTTGAGGGAGAAGGCAAAGGTCCTGGAGGGAACCTTAAGGCAAAGAGGCCTCGGTGGAGGCTGCTAGCCCACTTCACATCTTCCTTTCTAGCCAGTGGCAGCTCAACCCCAGCCCTGGACCCAGAAACATGCCCTGTTTCCCTGTCGAGTCCCCCTGGAACTCCCACACTCAAGGTCCCCCAACCTGAGGCTGATCTTCCCCAGACCCCTGGGGACTTGATGGAAAAAGGTAAGGGCAGACAGGTTGGGGAGTTAGGGGAGGTGGACAGTGCCCAGCTATAACACCTGTCCTTCCCTTTCCATGTAGAAGAGCTGGCAGGGCGCCTGGCCCAGGCCATTGCAGGTGGGGATGAGAAGGGGGCAGCCCAAGCTGCAGCTGTCCTGGCCCAGAATCACGTGGCCCTCAGTGTCCAGCTCCAGGAAACCTGCTTCCCACCTGGTCCCATCAGGTGAGGCCTAGGACTTCTTACTCACCCTGTCTACCATCCCCTCACCCATCATCCCCTCACCCACTTTCTGCTCCCAGGCTACAGGTCACACTCGAAGATGCTGCGTCTGCTACATCTGCCTCATCTTCTGCCCATGTCACACTGCAGGTCTACCCCCATTGCACCATTGCAGCCCTCCAGGAGCAGGTGAGCACAGGGTTTAGGGAACCCTGCTGGGGTTAGGGGCCCTGGGTGAAATTGCCTGCTGTGATGCTTTGGTCCCAGGTATTCTCTGAGTTCGGTTTCCCACCAGCCGTGCAGCGCTGGATCATTGGGCAGTGCCTGTGTGTGCCTGAGCGCAGCCTCGCCTCCTACGGAGTCTGGCAAGATGGGGACCATGCTTTCCTCTACTTACTTTCAGCCCGAGAAGCCCCAGGTCAGTCCTCAATGGGTAGGGTGAGGGAGGCGGGATACAACCTGACACAGCCCTGAGCTCCACCCTTTGCTACAGGATGCAGCCCTCAGCTCCCCCAAGAAGACAAGGAACTAGGACATTTGTTTCCCCCATCAATGGAGCTGCCTCCAGCCCCCCGGAAAGCCACCTCCAGCCTCCCCAGCCCCTTTCAGGTGAGCAAAGGACTGAGTAGGGACAGGGGTAGGCAGGGTCTGGGTGGCTGTGGGGAGGAGACAGCATGGAAGCAGCAAATGTCTTCCCATTTCTTTAGCCTGGCTGGGCCTGCCCTTCTTGCACCTTCATTAACACCCCAAGCCGACCTGGCTGTGAGATGTGTAGCACCCAAAGGCCCTGCACTTGGGACCCCCTTCCAGCAGCTTCCACCTAGCAGCCAGCAAAGGTACCAGAAGTAGAGGAGGGGGTGGGGCAGGCAGACCAAGCAGAAATGACTATCTCTCCCCCTGCAGATTACAGGGAGAGCACCACTCTTCATTTATAGGCCTGAGGTCTAAGCCTACTCCTGAACTTCCTCAGGGGACAGCCTCTGCTGATTGCATACTGAAGACAAAACCACCAAGGTTGGGGAAAAGGGCCACAAGCTGGAATCATTAAAAGACACTTAAGAACCAGTGAGTGTCCCTTTCACCGTGTCTCTGTACAGACCTGCCCCAGCCCAGCAAGGGCTACAGAAATGGGTGAGCAGGAAAACCAAAGAGTGGATTTGAGGGCCAAGGTGGGTACACTGCCTGAGCCAGAGTGAGACCCCATCTCTAAAAATAGCTAAATAGATGGGCACTGTGGTAGATTCTTACAGTCCCAGCTATTGGGAAGGCTGAGCCCAAGAGTTTGAGGTTGCTGTGAGCTATGACACTATGGTACTCTACCAAGAGCAACAAAATAAGACCCTTTCTCAAAAAAAAAAAAAAAAAAAAAAAAAGGACTTTAGCTCCAGGTCCCACTGGTCAGAGGAGCATGGCACCAGGATCTCTTCCCAGACCCCAGAGGCCTACCTGACTGGTAACCACTGGCTCTTGAGACTATTGAGTTATTCTACACATTGAACCAATCATTTGTGAGTCCTCAGTGCCAGCCTCATCTCCTGCTGTCCACTCTGGTCCTGCAGGCCTGCATCCGTCTACTGCCTTCAGCCTGGTTGCGCCTTTCTCCCATTCAGTTCTTAACCCTTGGTAGACTCTGGCCTATACTTCCTTCTATTCTTCCAGCTAGAATGATAATGGAAACAGTATTTTCCTTCCCTTAGATACAAGGCGTGCTCAGGGGCTGGGACTCCTGTAATAGGGCCTTGTACTACTGCTGAGGTCACTTCTCCATGACCTTGCTGTCAGTGTTACCCTATCCTCACCTGCTGTAAGCCTAGTTACTGCCAGCTGTGTCCTGGACCTACCACCCAGCTGTCCTATAACATAACTGCAAGGAGATGCCATTCTATCATGAATACCCTACCTGACATTTCCCCCATCACGTGCCACTCTTTAATGGACAGCACCTCTGGCTATCCAGCTAACACACCAGGGGGATATTCCAGGTACACTCCTCTGTGTGCCTAATCCTTAATGTGCCTGGTAGCCACCCTCTCTTCTGAGCCCAAAACAGCTTCTGCTCAAAGACCAGGCCTTTCTTTTGTTGAAGTGCTATTGAGGTTCCCTACTGCCACCAGGATGGCTAAGTGGCTCAATATCAACACATGGCTGCTAATCCCAGAGGGTCCCTGGAGCACGTCCAGCCAGGGCAGCCCCTTTTCACCTGTGCCCAGACACCCTACCCTGTTGAGTGCACCTTCTCCTCTAACATTCTGTTCTCTGCTCTCTGTCCCAGCACCAGTTAGTGCATGAGCATCTTGGAAGCTCTGAGAACAAGGGCCTTGGTACCAGAATTCCCTACAAACCTGTACTCCTTGAACACGTGTATGTTGAGAAACTTTAATTTATTCCCATGGTGGGGGAAGGAGGATCTGGACTTAGAGCCTGGCCTCCTGCCCCCTCCCCTCTTGTCCCAGACGAAGAGGGCCTTAGCTGAGTGGCCGGCTGAGGCCTGAACAGGCCCAGGATGCTTGAGGGCCTGTTCAGGCAGGATGACAAGCAGTCATTGGAAGGGGTCACTTGGGTGGCCGATATGCCAGCTTCCGACTCTTCAGTACTGACCACTTATGCCGCTTCATGGCATAGACCAGGGGTAGCAGCAAGCCCATCATCATCAACATCTGGGGATAAGGCAGGCTCAGAGATGGGAGGCAGGAGGGACCCTTCCAGCACCTCTCTTAACACCCACTTTGACCCCTGCCCAACCCTTTCACCTTGAGCCCCATGCGTTTGCGATGGTCATGTTCTGGCTCAGATGCCCAGCGCAGGAAGGTGCACACATCTTTGGCTACCTGGGACATGGTAGCTGGGGTACCTGGCACAATAAGGAATAGTGAAGTGTAGGGGCTCACATATCCTCAGTATATCCCCCTCTAGGAGCAAAGACTGGCCCCTGCCCAAGGTTTCCCCCCACCCACACAAACAGGACTGTGAAGGAGCCCCCAAACCACCTCAGAAGTACACAGATAACACCCTAGGCAAGAAAGGGGGTGGGGCTTCTTGGGCCCAGGAACACAGGGGAAGCATCCCAGAGAAGAGCCTCTCACCATCATCAAACTCCAAGACGTCAGTGTAGATGGGTGGGGCCATACCGATGGCCTGTCCAGGGAAGTAGGGATTGAAATAGAGACCTTCTCGTAGTGACACCCCAGTGGGTGGCTCACAGTAGCCCGTGAGCAGGGAGAAGACGTAGTCCTCACCACCATGCCTGAGACCAGATCCATGGCACTTCAGCCCCTGGCACAAGTCAGAACTTCCCCTGTTCTCCAGCACCACCCTGTGGGCAGCCCATGTACCTAGCTCGAACGATGTAGCTGAGGTCAGGGGGCAATGCTCCATTGTTAGCAGCTCGGGCGGCCTCAGGGTTGGGGTATGGTTTGGGGAAGTAGTCAGACAGCTTCCCTGGACGCATGAACATCTCCCCATCCTCATTGGGGCCGTCCTGAACCTCCACCTGCCACCAATAGGCTCATCACACACCTCTGTCGTCCCACTGCAGTAGGAGCCCCTAGCCCTGAGTCCACACCCCAAACCCCACACCTCCTCTGCCAGGGCCTTAGCTTCCTCCTCCGTGTAGCACACGCCCACCAGGTGGCGGTAAGCCACGTAGTCCATGCTGTGGCAGGAGGAGCACACTTGCTTGTATACCTGGAAGCCCCTCCGGATGCTAAAGAAAGAGGAAGAGTTAGGGGCACCCAAAAAGCCACCCCACCGACTCCACTCCGAAATTCCTCCACCCAGCTGCATACCTGGTGTGGTCCAAGGAAGACAGAAGGCCACGGTGGGACCAGGGATAGCTGGGGGGGTGCAGCTCCAAGTCACTAGCATTCACAGCAGAATGCAGAGCCATGGCCAGCCCTGCACCCCCAGCCGCCAGCATGCCCAGCGCTGACAGCATCACCTTCCGACCGCGGGAAAGGCCAGACCTCGACGACAAGGACACTGCCTGCAAGATCTCTGCTCAGCGCCTGCCAGGATACCACCCAGCCCTACCTGGGGATCTGCCTTTCAGCGCCTATCTCTCCACCCAGCACCAACCATCTCCTGCAGAATGCCCAAAGCACAGCTGCCCCACAGTCCACCCTAGCCCTCTCCGCTGTAGATCCCTAGACCGTGATTCGGCTCTGAGAAGGGGATGAGGAGTGTTCTTGGATTCTGCGTCGGGGTCAGGCCGAAGTGGCCAAAGGGTGCGGGAGGTCAAGGTCACGGCAGCCGGCTGAGGTCGGGGTGGGGTCACTTCAGGACACGAGCCAGTCTGGACAGCCGGCTGCCAAAGCCGTACTGGGAGCGCTCTCCGGGAAAAGCCCACAGCCCCGACTCGGCAGCAAAACCACCCCACCGCCTCCCACGCAATGAACAAGGCGTCCTGCGGCTCGGAGGAATGGACACCTGGCCCAGCTCCCCAGTGTCCAAGGTCGGCAGGCAGCGGAGCCGGGCGCCGGGTGGCCGAGACCGCGTCCCCGCTGCCCCGTCCCATGCCCGGAGCCTCCCCGCCATGACCTTCACGGGGCTGCGGGGCCGCGCGAAGGCCGTAGCCCGGGCCAGCACTCACCTGAGGAGTCCGCAGCGGCAGCTGCCCGGGCCGCGCGCCGCACAGCAGACCCCGGGCACACGCGCTCGGGAGCCCCGAGCCCCGCGGGCCCAGCACCGCCCTGCCGAACGAAGCCGCTGCCGCCGCCATCTTGGCCCTCTTCGGCGCGGCGCCGCTCCCGTCGGCCCCCGGGGCTCCACGCGTACCCAAGCCTCGCGACAGCCGGAGAGCAGGGAGAGGTGTCAGTCAGGTCCCGGGCTCCGCCTCACTGTTCTAGTTCCGAAGTCCCGGAAAATGATGGTTGGTTGGGGCTCCCGCCTCGAGTCTCCCTGTTTCCGCGACGACGGGTTTCCCTCCCGGCTACCGCGGCGACCTACAGACCTGGCGAGCCAAAGGGTGGCTCTCCGGACAGCCCGGAGGGGAGCTCGCGGGGGTCTTGTGTCCGCTACTCGGCCACAGGGAGGGACCGGCTCCGCCCGGCAGGGGGGAAGCCTGCCGCGCTGGGTTTGGGTCCTGCACTCAACGTCATCTATTGAACAAGGACTTGTTAAGCACAGATTATGCCCAGACTCAGGTGCAGAAGCCACGAGCGGGACAGCCAAAGTTCCTCAAGAAACTACTGTTGGTAATCAGAGAAAAGAGGCCTCTGGAAAGCGTACGCCCCCACCCCAGCAAAAATTGTCAGAATCGGCTCGGTGCCTATAGCTCAACCGGCTAAGGCGCCAGCCACGTACACCTAAGGTGGCGGGTTCGAATCCCCAGCCCGGACCCGCCAAACAACAATGACGGCTGCAACCAAAAAATAGCCGGGCGTTGTGGCAGGCGCCTGTGGTCCCAGCTACTTGGGAGGCGGAGGCAGGAGACTCGCTTGAGCCCAGGAGTTGGAGGTTGCTGTGAGCTGTAATGCCACGGCACTCTACCCAGGGGGACAGCTTGAGGCTCTGTCTCAAAAAAAAAAAAAAAAAAATTGTCAGAATCAACTCTTTCAGAACTACAGAAATTAATCAAAGGCTCTCAGCACCCCCTGGAGTGTCTAGAAAACTGATGAATATTAGAAAGAACAGTGACCTTTGTGGTGTTTTAACTTTCCCTGGTCCAACTTTGCTCCCCAGTTCGGCGGGAATCTTGGAAATAACAGCCTAGGTTCCTGGAGCTGACAGCAGCAGGATGCCCTCCTCCACAAAGAACTATTCCATATAACAAGTCTGGCATCTCTGAAGATCTCACCTACAAGACCCACTCAGAGCTGACCCACTGCCAATATCCTTTTCCTTGAGGCTGTTTGAGAAAGACAACTGCAGGCAAGGGTCACAACTTGACAGCTGCCTGAGATGATAGGCAACAGCTAGGGCAAGCAGTACACTAAACAAAAAGTTTAAAGGGAACATTAAGGCAATGAAATGTTCACAGGGACTTTGAAAACCCAACATAATTCTGGGAATATAGGTCACATACATAAGAAGGGCTGAATAGGGCTGGTGTGCTGGCTCAAGCCTGTGATCCTAGCACTCTGGAAGGCCCAGATGGATGGATTATCTGAGCTTGAGCAAAAGTGGGAGACTTCATCTCAAAAAAATTAGCCAGGCATAGTGGCTGGTTCCTGTAGTCCCAACTACTTGGAAGACACAAAAGGATCACTTGAGCCCATGAGTTTGATGTTGCTGTGAGCTATGATGCCACAACACTCTACCAAGGGTGACAAAGTGAGACTCTGTCTCAAAAAAAAAAAAAAATGGCTGTGGGTATACTCAGGAGAGACTTAAATCCTATGCTGTCACCGCTGGCTGACCTTACGAGTCCTGGCAAAAGGACTCGTAAAGGCTAACACAGAGCAGCACACTCCCCTCTTTGTGTTGAGGGTGCTCCACCACGTGCACAGAGCCACTAAGAAAGACTTAGAGATTTATTGGTTCCAGGCCTCTTTAAGAACTCTTGGCCCAAACATTAGCTGAACAGTAATCAATAGAGACTTCAGTGGCCACATGTGGCAAAGAAAACAGATTTGACTGCATTGGTTCAGAAAAATCACTAAGCAAATGTAACTACTATAAGCAGTAGCAACAATAAAACTAGCAGAGTAGAGAGGATCTGAGTTCCAGAATTTCCACATTATGTTTGTAGGGCCCCCAGTGTACCAGTGGAAGGAGGGTTAACATAACTACCTCCATTTTGCTTCTGACCCCCTGTGGTAATATCCTTTAGGTTAAAAGCCTCTGCTTAGCTCTGCAAGAAGACCAGCTAATTATAAGAAAAATTTAAAGACATGGAAACAGCCCAAGTGCCCATCGACCCATGAATAGATTAACAAATTGTGGTATATGTACACCATGGAATACTATGCAGCCATAAAAAGATAGAGACTTCACATCTTTTATGTTTACCTGGATGGAACTGAGAACATATTCTTCTTAGTAAAGTAACTCAAGAATGGAAAAAAATATATCCAATATACTCAATACTACTATGAAATCAATATATAACCACCTACACACTCATATGAACAGTAAAACATAACTATAGTCCAGAAAGTAGAAGGGAAGAGGAGAGAGAGAGGAGGGGAGGGGGGATGAGGAAGGATATTTGGGGGGATCTAATGTGCATGATGCAACGGGACATTTTAAAACTATTAAGAAATGAGTATGATTGTGATGGATGTTACTTAGTTTAATGTAAACATTTCACATTGTATATTGAAGCAGTACCCTGAACTCCATAAATGCATCAATGTACAAAGTTATGATTTAATAAAAAAGAAAAATTTAAACTCTAGAAGGGATAACTTCATCACTTTCTCACAAGTACTCCAGAGAAGACAAAGTATGTATACTAGTAACAATGCTATATTAAAGATTTATAGCAACATTGTGACCTGATCTAGCCCTACTAAAAGAACAAATGTTTTATATCCTCTTCAGACCCTCAATGATGCTCATATATGTGGTCCTTGGTTACTTCTTGCAATGATTCCCTCTTCCCCCTTTCCTTAACATAAGAATCCTGAAGTTCACTATAACTTAAGATGCTTCTTCAGTATGTTAGTCCACTGTCTTCTCAGTTTGCTGGCTTTCCTTGCCCCAACACCTGTCTCTCAACTTATTGGCTGTCCTGTGGTAAGTAATAGTAGTCTAGACTCAGTAACACCAGCTTTCCCTACTTCTTTCCCGACGAAGAAAAAGCCTGACCCTTCAGTGTCTCAGCCAGCTGCACATTTTCCCTTATAGGACTGAACCCAAGCCAGGCCTTGAACATTCCCAGGCACTGATCATGCCACTGTTTAGGTTGTTGCTCAAAAACATTAAGTTAACCCTTTGTGAAGCGTGTATAAAAAGCTAGACCCGGGAGGCGCCTGTGGCTCAGTGAGTAAGGCGCCGGCCCCATAGGCCCCATATACCGAGGGTGGCGGGTTCAAACCCAGCCCCGGCCAGACTGCAACAAAAAATAGCCGGGCGTTGTGGCAGGCGCCTGTAGTCCCAGCTACTTGGGAGGCTGAGGCAGAAGAATCGCCTAA